AACTTGCTGAACGAGGGCGCCATCGTCGCTGCGCGCCAAAACAAGGCGGAGATCGACTCCGACGACATCTTCAATGCATTGGAGCGCATTTCCATTGGCCTGGAGAAGAAAGATGCAGTCATGTCCGAGCAGAAGAAGAAGCTCGTGGCCTATCATGAGGCCGGTCACGCGATCCTGGGCGCTCTGATGAACGACTACGACGTCGTGGCCAAGATCAGCATCGTGCCGCGGGGCCCAGCCGGTGGCGTGACGATCTTCATGCCTTCCGAGGATAGGCTGAACTCTGGCCTGTACTCGAAGGAGTTTCTGGAGAATCGCATGTGTGTGGCGCTGGGTGGGCGCTTGGCCGAAGAGATCATCAACGGCAAGGACAATGTGACCACTGGTGCCTCCAACGACTTCCAGCAGTGCACGCAGGTCGCCAAGCAGATGGTGATGACCCTTGGCATGTCGCCGGAAATTGGCCAGCGTCTTCTGGGAGGCCAGCAGGGTGGCGGTCCCTTCATGGGCCGTGACTTCATGGGACAGGGGGCTCCTCCCATGTCGCAGGCTCTGAAGCAGAAGGTGGACGCTGAGATCAAGCGCATCGTGGACGAGCAGTATCAGCGTGGCATGAAGCTCCTTCGAGACAACATGTATCTCCTTGATGAGCTTGCCAAGCGTCTCTTGGAGGAGGAGAAGGTCTCCGGCGAGCAGCTGATGAAACTGATCAACCAATCTGCTGCAGAAGGAAAGCTGGTCATGGGCAACAGCAAGATGGCCGTGGCCGCCTACACGGGCGAGGTGATCGAGAACTCCTCGGAGGTGTCTTTGCCGCGAAAGACCCAGTGCGTGCACCCGGACAAGCCCATGATGTTCGCCTGTACCGACTGCCCGCGACGCGGCTTCTGCGGTTCAACTCGTGCTGCGCCCAGGGAAGGCAAGGCTGCGCGAAGCGCCGTGGCTCGGCTGGGTCTCGCCACGCCCGAGGCGGAGAGTCGCGAGTCCACCAGCGAGGAAGTGCTGCGCCGAATCAAGGGCATGGCAGCCGAGGTGTCCCCTTCTGGTGCAGCTTTGCCTGAGAGCGTGGTGAGGCATGCTGCCGTGCAGGCCTTGGCCGTTCTCGCCGCCTCGGCCGGGCCCTTGGCCGCCAAGGCAGATGACGTGCCCGCTCTCCAGTCTATGGGAACCCCGCAGATGCAAATGCAGCAGCCTGGTGGGGGCCTTCAGCGCGTCTCGGGCCGCGTGACCTACTCCCGGCTCTTGGAGTTCGTGGACGAGGGCTCCGTGAAGCGCGTCGACTTTTACGACCTGGGCCGCACGGCGGTGGCCACGGTGACCGTGGCCGGCCGGGAGCAGCAGCTGGTGTGTGACCTCCCAGGTGCTACCACAGGCCTCATCGAGAAGCTCACGACCAAGGGCATCTCAATTGAGGTCCACCAGCCAGAGAAGCCGAACCCCATCTTCAACGTCTTGGGCGATGTCGCCTTCCCTTTGCTTCTGATTGCCGGACTCCTGTTTCTGCGCTCCCGTGCCCCCGGCGGTGGTGGCATTCCTGGCTTCGGCAATCAGGGCCAGGCGAAGATCATGATCACTCCCGAGACCGGCGTGAAGTTTGAAGATGTCGCCGGAATCGACGAGGCCAAGGAGGAGCTCATGGAGATCGTGGATTTTCTGAAAGCGCCAGAGAGGTTCGTGAAGGTGGGCGCGAAGATCCCTCGCGGCGTGCTGCTGACTGGCCCACCGGGCACCGGTAAGACGCTGATGGCCAAGGCTTTGGCGGGTGAGTCCGGAGTGCCTTTCATTCAGTCCTCTGCTTCGGAGTTCATCGAACTCTTCGTCGGGGTGGGTGC